TGGGTGCAAGTCTTTTTCATGCTGTCCTCATGATAGTGACTAAGTCTCATGAGATCTGATGGTTTTAAAAAGAGGAATTCCTCTGCACAAGCTCTCTCTCTTTGCCTGCTGCCATCTATGTAAGATGTGACTTCCTCTTCCTCATGATTATGAGGCTTCCCCAGACATGTGGAACTGTAAGTCCAAGTAAACCTTTCTTTTGTAAATTGCCCATTCTTGGGTATGTCTTTATCAGCAGTGTGAAAACATATCCTGTAAGGTTGTTTCCCAGTGAGATTAGCATGTAAGTTGATGGACTAAGTAAAGCAGACTCCTCTCCCTAATGTAGTTGGGCATCACCTAGTTTGTTGAAGGCTTGAACAGAACACAGAAGCAGAGGTAGGAATAATTTGATCTCTCTCTCTCTCTCTCTCTCTCTCTCTCTCTCTCTCTCTCTCTGGTTGACTGCACTGGGTCATTGGTCCTCCACTCTTTGACTGGGACCTACATCATGTTTTTCAGGCCTTTACACTCAGAGTGAAACTATCTCATCTGCTCTGCTGGGTCTCAAGCTTGCAGATGGCAGATTTTGTGTCTTCTTAGCCACCGTAATCACACAAGACATTTTCTTGTAAATAAATATGAGTTGGTTCTGTTTCTCTGGAAAATAAAAGTGCACAACTGGTAATTGAATTTCACTTGATTATATGCCTCACTTTCAAGAACTCTCTATAAACAGGAATAAACACAGTTTTTGAAAGTGAAGAAATTAAATTAAAAATACATAAACTTAGAGATTTCAATCAGCTCTAAACCTCCTTCAGCTGATAAACAACTTTAGCAAAGTTTTAGGATTCAAAATCAATGCATAAAAAAATCACTGGCATTCCTATATGCCAAAAACAGCCAAGCCAAGAGTCAAATCAGAAAGGCAGTCCCACTCACAATTGCCACAAAAAGAATAAAATACCAAGGAATACAGCTAATCAGGGAGGTGAAATATCTCTACATGAGAATTACAAAATATTGCTCAAAGAAATCAAAGACACTAACAAATGGAGAAACATCCCATGCTCATGGATAGGAAGAATCAAAGTCATTAAAATGACCCTACTGCACAAAGCAATTTATAGATTTGATGCTATTCCTATTAAACTACCAACAATATTCTTCACAGAACTAGAAAAAAAACTATCTTAAAATTCATATGAAACCAAAAAAAGAGCCTGAGTAGCCAAGGCAATCCTAAGCTAAATGAACAAAGTTGGAGGCACTGAGTTACCCAACTTCAAACTATACTGCAGGGCAACAGTAACCAAAACAGCATGATGCTGGTGCAAAAACAGGCACATAGACCAATGGAACAGAATGGAGAGCCCAGAAATAAAGCTGTACATCTACAATCATCTGATCTTCAACAAAGCTGAAAAAAACAGGCAATGAGGAAAAGACTCCTTATTCAATCAATGGTGCTGGGATAACTGGCTAGCCACATGCAGAAGACTGAAACTAGACTCCTTCCTTACATTTTTGTATATGATGAAAATTAACTCAAGATGGATTGAAGACTTAAATGTAAAATTCGAAACTGTAAAAACACTGGCAGACAACCTAGGCAATCAATACCATTCAGGACACAGGAACTGGCAAAGATTTCATGACAAAGACACCAAAAGCAACCACAACAAAAGGAAGAATTGACAAATGTGATCTAATTAAACTTCAGAGCTTCTGCAGAGCAAAATAAATTATCAACAGAGTAAACAGACAACCTATAGAATGGGAGATAATAGTTGCAAAATATGCATCTGACAAAAGTCTAATATCCAACATCTATAAGAAACTTAAACAAATTTACAAGAGAAAAACAAACAACCCTATTAAAAAGTGGGCAAAGGACATGAACAGACACTTCTTAAAAGAAGACATACATGCCAAAAAGCATATGAAAAAAAAACTCAACATCACTGATCATGAGAGAAATGCAAATCAAATCCACAATGAAATACCATTTCACACCAGTCAGAATGGCTATTCATAATAATAATAATAATAATAATAAAACAGATGTTGGCAAGTTTGCAAAGAACAGGTAACACTTATACACTGTTGGTGGGAGTGTAAATTAGTTCAACCATTGTGGAAGACAGTGCAGCAATTTCTTAAAGATCTAGAGACAGAAATACCATTTGACCCAGCTATCCCATTACTGGGCATATACCCAAAGGAATAGAAATTGTTCTATTATAAAGACACACACACATGTATGTTCACAGAAGCACTATTCACAATATCAAAGACATGGCATCAATGTAAATGCCCATCAATGACAAATTGGATAAAGAAAATGTGGTATGCATACACTATGGAATACTATGTAGCCATAAAAAGGAATGAGATCACATTTTTTGTGGGAACATGAATGGAGTTGGAGGCTATTATTCTTAGCAAACTAATGCAGGAACAGAAAATCAAATACTGCATGTTCTCACTTTTAAGTGGGAGTTAAATCATGAGAACTTACGAACACAAAGAAGGAAACAACTGACACTGGGTTCTACTTTAGGGTGGGGTTTGGAATAGAGAGAGGACCAGAAAGGATAACTATTGGGAACTGGGATTAATACCTGGGTGATGAAATAACCTGTACAACAAACCCCCAGGACGTGAGTTTACCTCTGTAACAAACCTTCACACGTACTCCCAAAATTAAAAGGTTTTTTAAAGAATGAGAATACACAATAAAGAATTTTGACATGGAAAGAACCTTAAAAAATAAAAAAATAGCCGGGTGCGGTGGCTCAAGCCTGTAATCCCAGCACTTTGGGAGGCCGAGGCGGGTGGATTACCAGGTCAAGAGATTGAGAGCATCCTGGCCAACATGGTGAAACCCCGTCTCTACTAAAAATACAAAAAATTAGCTGGGCATGGTGGTGCATGCCTGTAATCCCAGCTACTCAGGAGGCTGAGGCAAGAGAATTGCCTGAACCCAGGAGGCGGAGGTTGCGGTGAGCCGAGACTGTGCCATTGCACTCCGGCCTGGGTAACAAGAGTGAAACTCCGTCTCAAATATATATATATAATATATTTAAAAATTACTTAGGGAGTCACACAGAGATGACTCAGAGAGAAACAATTAGCTTTGATAACTTGAAAAACAAAAACACATTAACAAAAGTTTTGTGCAAAAATAAACTTAATGAAATGTTAGCAGAGCCGCAATAGAATGGGGTTACTGCTGTATGCTAATATTTTTAACACAAAAGGTGAAGATGGTGGTGACTTTAAGCAGACCAGCATTTACCTGTTGGCAGGTGACTAAGGTGTCACTTTTTGTTCTGTTGTGAACTAGCCACATGACTGGAGGAGTTAACTTTCTTCCTCTGGGGGAAAGGTTTCATATCAGCCTGAAAAAAATGACTAAATAAAAATTACCTGGACACCTGCTGAAAATGCATATGTTCTGGCTCTGGCCCAGAGATTCAGGTTCAGCAGGTCCAGGGCAGTACCTGGGAATCTTCATTTTATTGTCTCCAAGGCTGAATCTGATGAGAAGACAAGTTTGGGTAAAACAGTAAAAGATGGTTTGCAGGTACTGTAAAATGTTTTGATGGCTAGCAGGGACGTCAGTATAGATAGCTTTAAGCAGGAAAAAGAAAAATATTGTAAAACATTATGTTTTTAAGTTTTTTCTAGTAATATGACATAAGGTTATAGGGAGAAAAATACCAAAATGAACAATAATTTTCCTGACTAAATAATGAGTCAAAACTCTTTCCCCAAAGCAACCATTATAAAGTTTCTTGTGATTCCTTCCAGAACTACAAGAATATGTCTACATAATATTCTAATACACTACAATGTATAAATAATAATATACACACAAATATACCTGGTCTTTATGTTCCTATTTGCAATAGAAGGAAACATGCCCGGCCATTCCACACCTTTCTTTGGTTTAAAAATTGTCTAGGCAATTGTTAAATGCCCATACACAGAGATCTATGTCCTTTCTTTACACAGTTGCATAGCTGGTTTTCTACTATGTGTGAACCACAATTTATTTGTGTAATCACTGTTGATGGGCATTTCAGTAGCTTTCGGTTTTCTGCTGTTACAAAAATACACTGCAATGAGCATCCTTTCTCAGATGCTTTGGTGAATTTTTGCAAGAATGTCCATGGGGTTACTTCTTAGCAGCTGGGTTGATGAAGGTTATGTGCATTTACAAATTTGATGAATATTACCAAATTCCCTGCAGAGAAGTTGCACTTATCTACATTCTCACTGTGGCATATGAGAGTGCTCATTCTGCATGCCCTCCCCAGCACTGAGTTTCATCAAATTTTAGTATTTTATTTTGTGGTCAAACAAAAGCTCATGTTTTCTTTTTAAATAAATATTTCTCAGTTTTGACACTGCTATTGATTCAAAGGGCTGGAGAGGTGTACTTTTGCCGCTTCCACGGAAGAGCTATGATTTATTTCTTGCTGTTCCCCATCTCCGCTTGTTCGTTTCTGAATCCAAGCACCAGAGAGAGTAAGAATTCCTTTTCCCCATTCTCTAACTACATTTTTCTTGCTTTCTCACAGACAGATCCAGATTATTGTTTCCTCCTGCTGCTTCCACGTGGTTCCCTCTCTTGTCGGTTGCAGGTCCAATGTCTGGCACCATGGTAGGGCATGGAGGACTGTGAGTTGATGACACTAAGCCTCTGCTCTGGGGCCACCCCCAGTTCCTTGCAGAGCTCTTTCTTTTGATTGGACCAGGAGATAAAGAGACATCAGTGTAAAAGCCCTGCTGAGCAGCAATCCCATTGCCTTCTGTGGCACCTAATCCACTTGAGCTCTTCCTGGCTCTCTCACGGGTCACTCACTGGCTTTGAGGACGCAGGCTGCTGGGGTGGCTGTGCCTGCTAACAGGCCAGAGACTGCGCAGGGCCCAGGGAACGAGAGTGGTGGCAGGAAAAGGAAGGGGCCTTGTTGACTCACTCGCTGGGCAGCAAGTGCTTAGTGACGAACAGTAAACAAAGGCAGTGGCAACAGTGCCAGTGGCAGGGAGCTCCATGCACAGACTTGCTAGAGACCCCTGCTCCTTGCTGGAAAGCTGTCCCATGACGAAGGCCTAGACTCGGACACGGAGACTTTCGGATGCAGCCTTTAATGAAGGACGCAGGTATTTCTTGGCCTCATTCACTTTTCTCCTATAAATCGGGGTCAGGGAGAGGGCAAACTTCTTACTGGGTCTGGGTATCGGGAATAAGGAGAACGCGGCTGGGCAAATCCCTGTCAGTGCTTTTTATAGTACTATTTGGAGTATTAGTTGTTCCAGGCCACTGGCTGGGCCTGATAAGACATTGTATTTGTTTTTTAGCAGTAAACAATGAGCCCAAAAGAGAAAGCATGAACTTTAGAATCAGACCAACCCTTGTTTGAATCACTGCTTTGCTATTCATCATCTGTGCAAATTCAAACAACTCTTTTAACTTTCCTGAGACTCAGTTTCCTCACCTGTAAAATGGGGATAATAATGCCCCATGTGTTACAATGTTGTTGTTGAGGATTCATGGGGTGACATGTGTAAGGCCCTTAGAACATACTTGGAGCATACGAGTAGCCCATAAATGATGAATGTCACTGTCTTTCAGAAGCAAGTGTTTTGGTTAATGCTTGAAGAGTATCAGTGGTTTAAAGTAAGAGGTCTCGGGCTATGTCTAGCTGACTTCCAGAAAACATTGAAAAAGAAATGATTTACCTAGCTTTATGTGTATGCTTAAAGGAAAGAAAAAACTCAGTTGAGGTTTTCAACAGGTTAAACAACCTTTTTTTAAAAAAGCAACAATTGAGTTCAGAGATGAGTTATGTCTATTTCTCCTGGCTAAATCCTGTGATTTGCTCTAGCTGAATCCAATTGATTCAGCTCTAGTAGCTGAAACCAATTGATTCAGCTCTAGTAGCTGAAACCAATTAAGTAGTTTATTCATTCAACAAGAACTTACTTGGTATCTCCTGGGCTAAGCCAGGTGCTAGATGCTGGGGATGTCTCCCCCAGCCCAGAGGATCTTCCAGATTGTACGGCAGTGGGTGTTGGAGGCAGAATGCTGGACCTGCATGAAAACTGGCAGTGACAGCAAGTGTTGAAATGAAGGCGGCACGGGCTCCTGGAAGAGGTGATGCTGAGCATAGCTTTAATGCTAAGCAGAAACTAGCAGGAGGTGGGAGCAGGGGGAGTGGGAAAGTCATCCCAAGCAGAGAGAAGCACATGCAAAGGTCCAGTGGCATGAATAAGTAAAGCATACTCTGGGAACAGCAGGCAGTTTGGACTAACTTTAGTAAAGTGGGGCTAGGGGAGTCTGATAAGAAGGGAGGCTGCAGAGGTGAACAGGGGAGAGCAAGCAAGGCCTTCTACGGCTCGGAGTTCACTCAGAAGGTCCCAGATAGGCACTGATAGTTTTAATGAAGGATGTGTCATGACTGCATTTAATATTAAGAAGATTAATCTAGTAGCAATATGGGTGTGGGATTGGAGAGGATGAAACCTGGAATGATGACAGATGGCCTAACCTAAGAAAACAACAGTGGGATGTAGAGAAGGGGAGGCCTCCAAGCTGGTGCTGCCCCCACTGGGAGCAAAAGCAAATCCACATGCATCTAATACTTTCATTGTAAATTTTACTGATGTGAAGGATGTATATTGCATAATTTACAAGTAATGAAATAAAATACTCTTTTTTTTTTTGAGACTTAAGTCTCAATCTGTCTCCCAGGCTGGACCGCAGTGAAGCGATCTTGCCTCATTGCAACCTCCACCTCCCAGGTTCAAACAATTCTCCTGCCTCAGCCTTTTGAGCAGCTGGGACCACAGGCATATGCCACCATGCCCGGCTAATTTTTTTTTATTTTTAGTGGAGATGGGGTTTCACGGTATTAGCCAGGCTGGTCTCAAACTCCTGATCTTGTGATCTGCCCACCTTGGCCTCCCAAAGTGCTGGGATTACAGGCATGAGCCACTGCAGCTGGCCATAAAATACTCTTTATTACAAATTCTATGTAGCCATTTGATTCTTACAGCAAGCATTTGTTGATTTTTGCCGAACTCTTGTGCCCTCGGTCAGCCTATTTGTAACTGATGAATGAACATAGTTCCAATATGAACATCGTTTGATATTTTTGTTCGCATTGACAAGTAAGAAGAAAGTGAAACAATGAAGATGATTGTCTTAACTTCACTCATCTGTCAATGACCTGAGTGACTGCTGGATTTTGAATTTGAATGAATATTTTCTCAATTTTTGTGTTATTCACAATTTAACAACTATGGACATGACACACTTTTAGGTTTAATCTGCATGAACATTTTCTCCATCACTTTCTTAGTCTTCTTAGGGAATGAAAAAACAGCAAACCGAGCCCTAATTTGCAGCTTTTGCCAGTTTCTGTGTTGTAAATACTACCACTGTGGCCAATCACAAGCTCCCAGTGTGATATGGCTGAACACAAAGGTGGAAGAGCTGTGCACCCGCACACGATCACGTGGTATTTCCATCATAGAAATGTATTTCATTTAAATCAGCTCCAAAGCACCAACAACAGTAAAATGCAGAAAAATAATTTGGAAATGGTGAGTTTTGAGTATATTGTTAATAATTTATTTAACTGGAGATTTTTATCATACTTTTTGTAACGGCTGTGTTTAACGACCAGCTTACAAAATTTCTGGAAATTAAACAGTTGGCTCTCACGGGCCAGTAGGAGCATACTTCAGCATGTCAAAGGATCCAAGAGAGGTGTAAGGAGCAGAATAGTGATGAGAAAATGACTCACGGGTGTGAATGAAGGGGGTACTTCCTTCTCCCTGGGGATGAAGCTGTTACTCACCAAAATGTTAGACTCGTTGAAAAGAACACCACGAAAAGATGACTGTGAATTCAACTGCTAAGGAGTAGCAAGGGCTGGGGTATGCAGCCCAGGACAATGCTGCCTGTAGCTCCATTGGTGAAGACATTTCAGCTCTGAAGCCCTAGTTTTGCTGGCTTGTCTCTAGCCTCTTACCTGTCCTCTCCATATACTCAGTGTTCATGATATGAATATCTAGGATTTATTGAGAAACTACCATGTGCCAGACACAATAACTCATGGAACAGACAAGTAGAGAAGAAGTAACTTGCCCAGAGTGAGGTGGGATCAATCCAGCTCTGACCTCGGAGCCTGCTCTTCAGCCACTATGCTTTTCTATTCCCGTTCCCCTCCTGAGTTTTATTGGCCCTGAGATGTCAGTGTTTTTAGCTGCTTTCCTGGCAGATGTTTACTTTTTAGGCTGACTCCTAAACCCAGACTTCTTTTCACCCTTTGTTGTGAAACTGATCTGGCAGTTTCTATTGCTAACTATCTTTTTTTTTTCCTTTTCTTGCCTTGGCTGTAAGCCTCCTTATTCCTGTATTTCCTTGAGCTATCATAGCCTAACATTGTTGGAAATAGAGTAGGTAGTGAAGGGAGGCAGGAAGGAGACGTGTAGGATGGTGCTCAGGAACCAGTTCCAGGAGGGCTGGTGCCAGGCGGGAGGCAGATCAAGCCTGAGCTGTCAGAACTCACTCCTCCATAGGTGCAAGATGGGCAAAACAGTGTCTGCCTCGATAGGAAATACGTTGGACATTTTTAAAAAGTACCATATAAGAATTTATTTTATTTCTTCTATTAGTGTCAGTTTTGTATGATGCCAGTCCACAGAGTGTAGGCAGCTCCTGAAGTCCTCACCTGCTAATTTACTGAGTCATTCAGTCAGTGGGGGAAGAAGGAGCTCCAGCCACGAGTGTCCCCACAGAGCCTGCAGAAGGACAGGAGGTGCATCTAAGACTGGAAAAAGGCCATTGGGTGAGGGGAAGCGGCTACAGCTCAGTCTGAAGAGGCGGGCCGGAGGTCCTGTAAACCTTGCTCAGGATCTGAGCTCATCCTTTGGAGAACAGAAAGTGACTGTGGCTGAAGGTTTTCATGAGGTGTGACATGGTCAGATCTGTGTTTTAGGAAGAGGACTCTGCAAGACAGAGAATGGATCAGGGCAGGGGCAAGCTATGGTTGGAGGAAACCATTTGTTATGATTTGCATTTCAGTGGTCATTCAGGGGAGGGTGCTAGTGGCTTAGACCAGATCTGGGGCTGGAGAGAAATGGTGAATTTTAGAGAGATTGTGGAGATGGTGATTAAAGTGATGGGGAGTTTAGGGGTGGAATGGAGACAAGAATGCTGTCCGAAGGTTTGGCTTGAGGGGTTAGGTGGTGGAAATGCCATCTGCTGTATTCAAATAAGAGAGGTTGAAGGAGGAGGAGGTGGAGAGAAGGTGAAATCAGCTATGTGCATCCAAGGGACATGCTGGGATCACCAAGCAGGAGCTCAAGAAACGGGTCCCAGCTTAAGACATGGCTATGAAGGGAAGGGACTGACTGTTGGTAACTTTGGAGCATGTAGAGTGATCTCCAGGGTGCAGGGCAGAGGGAAACCCAAGGACCACTGACATTTGGCGTTGCCTTTATTCACTGTTACAAATAATGCATGGCAAGGATCTCTGAATATACATCTTTGTCAGTTATGTACTTGGCAATTCCCAGAAGAGGAAGACCCTGATGGCAGGAATGGACATCCCTTGGCTCTTGATACAGATTACCAAACTGCTTTACAAATCAACTCTCCCAAATTGGCCACATGTAAGGTCTCCGAGAGGAACGGTTTCATTGCCCCCTCATGGGCACTGAGCGCTCCTCATCGAAGCCCGCTTGAGGAGTGAAAATGGGACTCATCACTGCTGCTTCCACTGGCAGCTCCTTGGATTACAGGCAGGAGTGGACAGTTTTCCATATTCTTTAATAAGGAATCACAGTTTGTTTTATGACCTTTCTTAGTCTCACTTTCTCAATTAACTGCTGCTGCTGGGCTCATAAGATTTTTCTCTCTTTTTCTTTGCACAGAATAGTTACTTTTGGTTTGACCTTCATCCCTTATCCCAGATGGCTGTATAGCTCTTTGTAGATATCACTGTGGGAAGCAGCTTTCTGACTCAGGGCCTGAGGAAGGGTATGTGGTAAATGAAGCCCAGGAGAAGAGCTTGAGATGGGAGTCCCCTCCCTGAAATCACTTGGAGTGGGATGCTGGGCAATGCCTCTGCCCTCTCCACCTTGGCTGTCTC